AAAAAAAAAAAAAAAGAAGAAGAAGAAGAAGGAAGGAAGGAAGGAAGGCAGGCAAAACATGAGTCCCAAATAGCAGAAACCCATACATAGTTTCAGGAAGATATGTGGACCCAGACCCAGGGCCTCTATGCCAGATGGCCACTCTTTACCTCCCTTGTTAATGTGGCAATCATTTGCAAATTTCCAAATACCTCCTGTGGTGTTTGGACCTTCTGGCTGGAGCTGCTACCAGCAGACATGAAGAAACAGCCTGCCAGCCTAGGAGATGGAATTTTTTCTTTGCTTACTCTTCTAAAGCAAAGTCTAGCAGTCAGCGTTGGTGCCCTGCATCTCTTCTGTCTTTTTATATTATAGATCAAACCCAGAGCTTATGCATGACAGGCAAATGCTCTACCTCTGAGCACCTCTGCTATTCAAACAAACTATTTTGGTTGGGGTGCCACTTCAGAAGGCCTGGCTGTGCTGGGCCCAGGGGTCTCCACCAGCTGAGCCGTGCACGGGCCAATTGGCAAGCCTGGAGGGCAGGCCGACCTCGTGCACAGTGACTGAAACCTCATCCCTGGTGTAGGTTCAACAAGGAAAGAGGGAGGGAACGGGGCACTGAAGCGGGAGAACAGGCAGCCCTGCCCTGGCCTGTGGAGCAGTGAACCCTCCACATGGTCATGAGACAAAGTCTGGGAATGCTCTTGCCTGTCACAACCAGAGAAGGGGACCACTGACATCTAGCAGGTTAGGCTAGGGACAAGTTCGGCAGTGCATACATGGCCAGTCATCCCCATCACAAGCTGACTGTGGCCCCAGAGTCCCCGGGGCTGGGGTCAAGGAACCCTGGTCTGGTCAGAAAAGGGAAGAAAGAGGTCAAGTCTAGTGCCTAAGGTCAAGGGGAGGACCAGGCAGGCATCTGAAGGTACAAGAACCTGTTGGCTCTCCCTCTCAGACCCCATATGGCACTATCTGGGCTTCACCCCTGTCGTCGATGGAGACTTCATCCCTGACGACCCCATCAATCTGTACGCCAATGCCGCTGACATTGACTACTTAGCTGGCATTAACAACATGGATGGCCACCTTTTTGCTACTGTTGATGTACCAGCCATCGACAAGACCAACCAGGATGTCACAGAGTGAGCAGGGGGCCCAGGGCCCAGGGCAGCATGGACTGGGAAAGAATAGGCCTTGCTTGGGGGGCTGGCTCAGAGGCGGGGGGTAGGGCGAGAGTGAGGAGGTGGGTGCCGTGTTGGGGTGAGTGCAGACATGCTCCTGTCAACACCAACGGCAGGTCTGGTGTCTGTCTCACCCATCCCCATGCAGGGAGGATTTCTACAGGCTCGTCAGTGGAAACACTCTCAACAAGGGCCTTAAGGGTGCCCAAACCACTTATGACCTCTACACTGAGTCCTGGGCCCAGGACCCGACCCAGGAGAACAAGAAGAAGACAGTGGTGGCCTTTGAGACCGACATCCTCTTCCTGATACCCACGGAGATGGCTCTGGCCCAGCACAAAGCCCATGCCAAGTGAGGTTCTGGGAAGAGGTGTGGGGTGGGGAGGCTCCTGAGGGGACTGCTGCAGGTTCGACCAAGGCCTCTTGGCTAACTAAACCATGAATTTAGCTCTGGGCTTCCCGTCAGTCAAGGTTAAAAGAGTAATAGAGGCACATATATCTTGTCCAATCATGTGAGAAATATGAATTCAGATGGAGAGAAATGAATCCTTGACCCTGCACTATGGGAAGAGGAGGCCTCCGAATATTTTGTAGAGTGGAGACATGAACATTGAAGACCCATGACTGTGGGCGGCAGCCTTTCTTTCCCTGGGTATCAAGAACTCCAGTTCAGAGCTGGGCGTGGTGGCACACACTTTTAATCCCAGTACTCAGGAGGCAATCTCTGGGAGTTCAAGGCCAGTTGGTCTACATAGTAAGTTCCAGGCCAGTCAAGGCTACAAAAGAGTTTCTTTGTGAGTCTTGGGGTTCCCTACCCTGCTCCTCCTGGCCTCTCTACTGGGCCTTACCTCCCAGTGGAGCCCCCTTCCAACCCAGCTGTTTCTGTTCCCTCAGGAGTGGCAATACCTATTCTTACCTGTTTTCCTACCCTTCACGGATGCCTGTCTACCCTAAATGGATGGGGGCTGACCATGCCGATGACCTCCAGTACGTCTTCGGAAAACCCTTCGCCACCCCATTGGGCTACCGGGCCCGAGACAGGACTCTCTCCAAGGCTATTATTGCCTACTGGACCAACTTTGCCAGGAGTGGGTAAGATGTGGGGTTGAGCCAGGATCAAGGGCAGCAGACTTGAGGACTCCTTTGTCACTGTGGCCTTGTGGGCCTGGGTTCTAGCCCTGTCTCCTCACTTAGACAAACTTCTTATCCTCAAGTATTGGTAGCCAGTTTGCACATGGGCAGAAGAGCTGCTGACCCAGCCCCAAGGCCAAGTACATGCTCATCATGACTGAGTATCAAAATGGCTGGGACGGCCAACCTGTCTATGTGCAGAGCTGTCTGGGAGCACAGGTCTCCAGCTGTAGCAGGCTTTTTTGGACCGCCAGCCTCCAAATCATGACACAGAGAGTTAATTATGAATGCTTGCCCTTATCTTATGCTTGTCCCACTAGCTCTTTTAACTTAACCTGTTTCTCTTCATGCCTCAGGGCTTTTACCTTTCTTTCATTCTGTATGTCCTACCTTTCCTGCTTCCTCTGTGTCTGTCTGTCTGGCAGATGGCTGGCCCCAGGCATCTCCTTCTTTGTCTACTTCAATTTCTCTCAAGCCTAGATTTGTCCTCCTACTTATTCTTGCTGCCCGCCAGCCCTTCCTATCCCTCTACTGCCTAGCTATTGGCTGCTCAGCTTTTATTAGACCAATCAGGTGCCTTAGGCAGGCAAGGTGAAACGGCAACACATCCTTACATAGTTAAACAAACAAAAGTAACACATCTTTCCACAGTTAAACAAATACCATACAAACAAATGCAACACACTTTTACATAGCTAAATATGCAACAAAATGAACAAATATAACACGTCTTTACATAGTCAAAGTAATATTCCACAACATTCAGTCTCCTTGTAGTCTTCGATACTTATTCAGTCTCTTCTCACTCTGCAGGGATCCCAACATGGGCAACTCACCCGTGCCCACACACTGGTACCCTTATACCACGGAGAATGGCAAGTACCTGGACATCACTAATGAGATAACTAGCACTTCCATGAAGGAGCACCTAAGGGCCAAGTTCCTGAAATACTGGGCTGTGACATACGAGGTGCTGCCCACAGTGACTGATGGCGAGGACACCCTCCCTCCCTCTGAAAATGACTCAGAGGCTGTCCCTGTGCCCCCTGTGGATGACTCAGAAGCTACCCCTGTGCCCCCTGTAGATGATAATTCCCAGGCTGCTCCTGTTCCACCCACAGATGGCTCTGTGGAGGCTCAGGTGCCTGTTGCCATTGGCTTCTAATGTCTTGTAAGCCTTGGCCTCAGGGTCCTCTTCTTAGCTCTTTCTTAATAAAGCCTCAGCTTTGCCCACCTGGTATTGGTCTTTGTTCCTAAAACAGCCTGGAGGAAGGAAGGACCCTCAGTCAATGGTGACAGGCACTTGGTCTGTCCCTGCCAATCCTCAAGCTGCGGAAGTCAAAGGACCAGCTCTAGCTTAAGAGCAAACACACAGCACCAGAGATGTTGAACATGGGGAGGGGGTGGGGAGGGGGGGTCTCTTGCAGGCAGGAAGCAGCACCCTGGGATCCTGGAAGATCACTTGTCGGGGTCATCCTCCAGCCCCGGCCAGCATGTGTGGCAGGGAGGCAGGGCCATCGGGGCACAGGCCGTATAGGGAGCTGGAACCTGGCTCCCAGGCTGCAGGAATGCTAATGGGAAGACACACACTACAGCCGTAAGCACTGCACCCTGACTTTCCCAGGCAGCAGGGGATGGAACCCTGAGGCCGGGCCAAGGGTGTCAGGAGTGTCTCCATAGGAAAGGGGTTGGCCAGGATCCTGCCTGTCTGTGGGTAATCCTCCTCCTTCACCCCTCCTTCTTCCTCTCCTCCTCTGACTTACAAATGACTTTGAAGTCCACATGTCCCTAAACTGTGGTCAAAGAAACATGCAGGCAAGCTTCGAGTGCTCCCCTTTCTCCGCAGCTGTGGGAAAGCTTTCTTTTGGCTAGGAAACCATCCTTGCAAGAGGCTTTTGTTTGGAATCTAGGTCTTACTGTATTGCCCAGGCTGGTCTTGAAGCTGGGCTCAAATGCTCCTCCTGCATCAGCATTCCAAGAATTATGAGCTAGAGCTTATAACAACTATTTATATTAAATGAAGTAATTATATTTTGAGTCAGAGTTTTGCTATCTCAGGTTGGCCTCCAACTCATCATCTTCCTGCCTCAGCCTCCCAAGTGCTGGGATCATAGGGGTGAAACATTGTGTTTACCCTGCAAGCATAAAATTCTTTTTTAAAAATTATTTATATTTTATGTACATTGGTGTTTTGCCTACATGTGTATCTGAGGGTGTTGGAGCCCCTGGTACTGGAGTTATAGACAGTTGTAAGCTGCCATGTGGGTGCTGGGAATTGAACCTGGGTCCTCTGGAAGAGCAGTCAGTGCTCTTAACTGCTGAGCCATCTCTCCAGCCCCTAAAATTCTTAAAATTGTGATAAACAAGTCAGCAAGAGGGCTGAGCAGGTGAGAGCACTTGCTGTGAGAGTCTGACTCCACATGAAGGTGGAGAGAGAGAGCCTGACTCCATCAAGTTGTCCTCACCTCCAGTGTGCTCATCCCCCCACAAATGAAACATGCTTCTTGTGATAAAATATATGTCTTAGGGGCTGGAGAGATAACTCAGATGTTAAGAACACTGGCTGCTCTTCCAGAGGACCTGGGTTCAATTCCCAGCAAACACATGGCAGCTCACAACTGTCTATAACTACAAGCATATATATCCAGAGGATATAGCATCCTCACACAGACACACATGCAGGTAAAACACCAATGTACATAAAATAAAAAATTATTTTTAAAAAAATACATGTCTTTGGCCGGGCGGTGGTGGCGCATGCCTTTAATCCCAGCACTCAGGAGGCAGAGCCAGGCAGATCTTTGTGAGTTCGAGGCCAGCCTGGTCTACAGAATGAGTTCCAGGAAAGGCACTAAAACTACACAGAGAAACCCTGTCTCAAAAAACCAAAACTAAACCAAAACAAAACATGTCTTAGGCTAATTGAGCTATCTGCAGGAGAATTACACTGTTGTACCACCATCACTGCTACCTCTTTTCAGAACTTTTTCATGCCCCCCAGACAGAAACTCTGGATCCACTGAACACTGGCTCTCCACTCTCCTTCCCTACCTGTGACCTGTCATTTCAGCATCTGCCTGTTCCAAATGCTTCTTCTAAGTAGGACAGACAATGCACTACGGAGGCCTGTCCATCCATGTTCTCCAGGCCCGCTCCCAGCTGAGCAACCCTACCCCACCCCCACCTGCTGCTGGCGTTCGAGTATGTCGAGTACTTCTTTTGATTGTTGCAAAATTGGTAGCAATGCACTCACTTTCAAGTTTGAATGACTTGGGTCCTTTATTTTTCTTTGCTGATCTAACTAAAGGTTTATCAATTTTACTCATCTTTGCAAAGAACCCAGTTCTCTACTGTAGCTAGAGTTTTCCGCCTTGCCCACAGTCAGGACAAATCTTTGTCACCCGCCAGTCCCACAGCCGCTCAGACCCAACCAAGTAAACACAGAGACTTATATTGCTTACAAACTGTATGGCCGTGGCAGGCTTCTTGCTAACTGTGCTTATAGCTTAAATTAATCCATTTCCATAAATCTATACCTTGCCACGTGGCTGGTGGCTTACCGACATCTTCACATGCTGCTGGTCATGGCGGCGGCTGCAGTATCTCTCCGCCTCAGCCTTCCGCTTCCCAGAATTCTCCTCTCTCCTTGTCCCACCTACTTCCTGCCTGACCACTGGCCAATCAGTGTTTTATTTATTGACCAATCAGAGCAATTTGACATACAGACCATCCCACAGCACTCTACTCTGTTTATCTCTGTTATATATTTTCCCCATTTTTGTGTGTGGAGCATTGTTACAGGAATTCTGTCACTGGCCCACCAGCCAAGTGAAAGAAGTGTTTTGGTCCAAGAGGCAGGGTTTTCAGTGGGAATGGACATGACTGAAAGAAAAGGCGGGGCTGAGGGATGCATGGTCTTTTGGAACAAGGAACCAGCAGTGAGGCAGCAGCAGTTAGCGACTTGGTTCAGATTCCCCATTCTGTCTTGTGATATTTGTACACAAATTTTACTGATAATAAATGGTTAAGTAATCTTTTGACTTCCATTTTCATCTGGCGCCCAACGTGGGGCCTTGCTAGACCATGTGATGGCCACTCTGTGGTCCAGTGGAGGCTGCTGCCTTCTCAAGGATGGACACCCCTGCTTTGCTGCATTCCTGCCTTCCGGGGCTCAGACTCGGCCCACTGCTGCCCTCCCAGATCCATTCTGCTCTACATGCACACAGGAGCTGGTACAAGTTTTGATTCCATCACCTTGCGCATTACACTGTGTGCTGCTACCCTCCCAAGCCCAGGGCAGGCAAGCACTAGAGCAGAATCTAGTGTGGTATATAGCTGCTCTCTAGAACCAATTTTACTAAGTGGGAACAAGTGCTGGAGTCGAGTCTGGTATGGCTCAAGCATGCTGAGCTTGAGCTGCCTTGGTGCCTCACCTGCTCCACCTGCTGGTCCAACATCATTGCTACATCTACAAAAGGACTGAACTGTGTTAAGTTATTGGAAAATTTTAAACGGTAAACCAGGATTTTAAAAAAGGTAAAAGAATAAGGGGAAAGGACAATCTTAAAACCTTTCCCAGGTCAATGCTTGGAAATATCACAATGCAGGAATTAGGACCCTACTAACTGCTACTGTGGACAAGATGCTAGAGAAACTAATTGAGGAGATAAACTTAGCTGGGATCAATACAATGTTGGCCATAATTATTATCAATCTGGTAATTTATATTTTACCCTTAAAAATGGTTTGATAACTGTGCCAAATATGAGAAATTGACTGACAAAAGCCTTAGAAAATGGTACTAATGATAATATCCAAAACTTGGAAAAACTTACTATTCAAAGGATACAAGCCTTAGAGAAGTCTACTACTGATAACACAAGCCTCACAAATAGTTACTAAAGAGAATAATACAGTTTTGACTGACAAGATAAAAGATTTAGAAATATTTACTGAAGAGAGTAAAAGGGTGACTGGTAATATGCAAACCTTAGAGAAGCCTACTGTTCAAAATGCAAGCCTTAGAAAATGCCACTACTGATAATCACAAGCCTTAGAAAAATTTACTGAAACAGATAATAAAAGCATTCAGACACAGACAGAAGAATTCAGAGGAGAACCAACCTCACCATTACATTATGAAATTAGAGAGGAGAAGCCCAAGGTTATTAAAAAAAAACCACCCTTAATTTATCCAATTACCATTCAAGAAAAACCACCAGACAATAGGAATCCCCAAGGCCATGCAGAAGTTAAATGGAATCCTAGAGAAATGTTAGATTTAAGGAAGCAATAGTTTCCTATGGTATACATTCATCTAATGTGAGGCAGATGATGAATACATGGTCCGCTCAGAACAAACTTACTTCACAAGATTGGAAAGATTTAGTTACAGCAGTATTGGAATATGGTCCTCAGTTACAGTGGTACAGCTGGTGGAGAGAAGCTGAGGCCCTCTAACAGCAAGGTAGGGTTAGAGGTTATCAGATTTCCCAAGATCAAATCCTTGGGTGAGGACTGTTATACTGATGTGGATAGTCAAGCTACATTTGATGAACACACCTTATCCCTATGCCGTACAGTAGCCTTAAATGCTTGGGGAAAGATTCAAGAATCAGGAAAGAGGCCTGAGCCATTTACTAAAGTTATAGCCCAAAAGAAGCCTTCACTGAATTTTTAGAAGGATTGACTTCAGCTATAAACAGAATGATATAAGATCCAGAAGTTAGACTACTGTTAATTGAATCTTGGGCTTTTGAAAATGCTAATTCACACTGGGTGGTGGTGGTGCACACCTATAATCCCAGCTCTCGGGAGGCAAAGGCAGGTGGATCTCTGAGAGTTCGAGGCCAGCCTGGTCTACAAAGTGAGTTCCAGGACAGCCACTGTAGGTAACCCTGTCTTGAGAAACAAACAAACAAACAAACAAAATGCTAATTCACAATGCAAAAGGATAACTGTGCATTTATAGATAAGATCAGCACCCATAAAGGAATGGATCCAACACACAGTCAATATTGTCAATATTGAATCTCATAACCATGACAATACTTAGATAGGAGAGGTGATTTCCAAAAGCTTGAGAAAAAAAATCAAAATGTCAAATGTTTTAAATGTGGTAAACAAAGTCATCTAAAAAGGAATCATAGACAAGGCATTCCCATAAACAATGTTTTTTTTTATAGAGATAACCCGAACAGAAGTCCTCAACCTTCTGGAGTATGTGGAAGATGCG